TTTAATATGAAAAACTGCAAATTAAATCAGTTTCAGACATTTGCCTGTGATTGTTCACCCACACTGCAATAAAGTAATTACAAAACACAGATAAATCTAATATTAGTGTACAGTTGTTGCAAAATATGCTTAAATACTGTAAAATCTGAGAAAAAGAAATGAGCAGAATTAATGGTGGGATTTGAACAAAATAGTTGGAGGTTTGTTGCTCCAGATGGTTTGACAGAGAGGTGAAAGAAGCCATCTATGTCAAACTGGAAAGACCATCCCTCAACAGAGGTGGAGGTCTGAGGCGTCACCTGTTTACAATTCAGTGTTAAGATCTCTCCCCAGAAAGATGAAACCTCATTAACACATAGCCACAAAAGACCCTAACGAACCTCATTGTGTCAGGAGGAGCACTAACGACTCACATAACGAGGGGGAGGAGCAACAAACCCCCAATTGAAACTCAGGTGTTTTATTATTTTATTTATTTGTCTTTATATTTCTACTTTTATTAGTGTTTTCTTTTATGGATTCATTTTTGATTAATATTGCTTTATATTGCAACATTGTTTATTATTATTATTATTTTTTATTCTTCTTTTTATTTCCAATAAATATATTATTATAATTTATTGATTTATTTTTTTTAAATCTTCAGTAGTTCCTGAGATTTTTTTTTGTTCAAACAGCCTAAAAGAACACCTTCAGAGTGAGTCAACTGGCCGTCTTTTGTAGCTGCAGTTCAACAAATATATTAATAAATGTCCATATTTTCTGTTATAAATTGAAGACATTGTTCTACAGATCAGGTGATTTGAAGCAGAAAGAGCCAGAATGCAAATATATTCATTTCACTACCGAAGAAAATAAAAATATTTTCGCTTCTGCTGCAGGAAACTTTTAGTTTTTTAACAACTTAGGCTTGAAAACGACTCAATCAAACATCAGAACTGTGCTGATTGATTAATATTCTGATGATAGCTGGTTCTTCAGCTTTATAACGATTAAAACATCATTAGTCAGAACTCAGGACTCTCTGGTGTGAGGATTAAACCTGCAGGAGGCTGGTGGGACTGAAAGAGGAGTGTTTTATACTTGGCTCTGTGTGAAAGCTGATCTGGACGTCGTGTCGTATCACCACGAACACACCTGCTGCTGGAGCCTGACGGAGGCTGATAGAGCTGCAGGACGCTCAGCCTCCGCCGGCCGCTCGCTTCACCTGCACGTTATCTGGAGGAAGGAGCTGGAAATCAGAGGGTCACTTCTCAGAGTCAGTGGCGCTCGGCGAGTCGGCGACGGAGAGGAAACGATGAGACGAGGCCGCAAAGGTCTCGGCTCAGCGGCGGAGTCGCCTGCAGGAGTTCTGGTGTCTCAGATGAAAAGTTGTCGGTTCGGAGCTCCTGTGAATCAGAGGTTCTCAAACTTTCTGAGCCACGACCCCCAAGATTATCATATGTTTGTGTTCATGACCCCCCAGTTTGAAACTCCACAGATTCATCTCTTTACATGAACACGTCGGGGATTTTTCGTGCCACGGATCAATTAAAAGCCGATCAGAGCGTCGTGTCCCTGCAGGAGTTGATGTGTTGCTTCAATCCAGCCAAACTAGGAACCACAACAGATCCAGAACCATCTCATATCCGCCGTCCTGCTGCTGAACAACTCACCAGAACCAGAAAACATCATCATATTAAAGTCTCGTTTGCAGAGCGGAGAGGAAGCATGTCGCGTCGTTAGTCAGCGTCTGACACCAAACGTTCCAGCTCAGTTTCTGTTAACTGCATCCGTCGGTTCAATCAAAGTGAAACGGTTCTCTGTTGGTTCTCTGTTGGTTTTCTGTTGGTTTTTTCCTGCTAAACGACTAAAACGAGCCAAAACGAGCGCCGGATGAAGGCGAATGTGGCAGAACGCGTCCAGAAAGCCTCACTGTTCTTCATCCACACATCCCAATCTGCCATCTGGTTCCTCTGAAGTGTGAAGTTTTAAAAAAACGGACCAGAATTCTGCTAATTCGGCTTCAGGAGGCTCCAACGGTGGATGTGTGTGATCCACTGAACTCTGTAGCCACAGAATGAGCACTTTGAAACCGTTTTTTAAACCATTTCGGGTCTAATTCTGTTTATTTCCTCTCGCCTGTGATGTACGATGGACTCCTGATGGGACGGTCGCTCGTTTGCATCTGCTCGTTCATTTTTCTCACATCTGTGACATTTCAGCAGAAGCAATAGAAAAAGGAATCGAGTGGTGCAGCTTTGCCTTCATGCGTCTCACGTAGCTGCCTCCTGAGTTTTATTTACGCCGCTGATCTCGATCGCTGCGACAAACTCTCCTGTAAAACGACTTCTACGGAGTTACAGACGTCTTTCAACCTGATGCTCACGAGACTTTCTGATGATAATCTGTGTTCATGAAGCGCCAACATGTACATTTATACAGTTTTCTTAGATTTTACTGGATATCATCTGTAATTTACAAAACCAGGAAAAATCAGAAAAGTGCCAGTTAAAAACATCAGAGTGCCAGAAGAACAAACAAACAAAAAACATGTTGAACTGTAAAAAAAAAAAAAAAAGAAAGAAAGAAAATAAAGGCAAATATTTGTAAAAATGAGCTGATTTAAATATAGTTTTAAAAAATGTAATTGTAAAGTCAAAAATTGAAAAAGAAATACTATTTGAAACTTTTTTTTGAGTTTATTTACATTTTTTAACACTTTTTTGTGATTATCTTCGATAATAATTGTAGTAAAAAACCTGTAAAATAACAATAAATTGTAAAAATCAATAAATCAATAAACAAATAAAATCACAGTTAAAATCTATTGGACAGTAAATGGAAACTTGCCACTGAGTCACACAGATCAGGTTCTTTCACACAACAAATATCCTTAAATCATATTTTTATTGCTTATTCAAGCTCAGTGGGATTTTAAAGCCAAACTTTGTAGAAGAAAAATGACTTTTTGTGGCTTTTCTGGCCTGTTTACCGTCTACCGTGTGATTTAATTCTTTTTCTGTGTGATTTTATTGGTTAATATCTGTAATTTAACAAAACAGTTTGACAGCATTATTATTTAGAACGACAGTAAAGTAAACTGCTGTTTACAGTTTTTCCTCTTTTGCTTCAAAAAATGCAGATTTTCACCATATTTTCAAAATAAAAGCGACTAGTAATAGATGTGTCTGCATTTCAACGTATCACAGAGAGCGTCCATGCATTATTAGTGTTTTGTCTTTTCTTTAGTTTCTCCATCTGAGCTGCAGGTTTTCAGTCACTTCTTTGGTTCCTCTCCGTCCTCCTCCTCTCGTCCCTCAGCGACCTCCTGCTCCTCCTCCCGTCCTGGTTCTGGTCCCTCCCGTCCTGGTTCTGGTCCCTCCGTCCTCCTCATCGGCTGCATGTTGCTCTGACAGACGAGGTCGTGACCTTGATGCTTCGTCCTCGTGGATCCTCGCCGGTCGCTCGGCGTCTAAACTCCTCTCAGCCGCTGAGCGTGAAGCTCTGATGCGTTCCGACGTTTGAGCACAAACCGTCTAAACGCACTCGCTCGGGTCTTTAGAGCGCCGCCGCTCGTTAGCTTTCTTCCACCTCGCTGTCATTTATCTTCTGGTCCCGGCTGCAGCAGAGAAGCATCCAGACACGACAGCGTGTTGCCGGTGAATGTAGATACGGGACGTGAAGCGCTCGGTGCAGCTCAGGTCAGCGAGAACAGGTGCTTCAGGTCCTGGTGTCGTCACATAGCAGAACCAGAACCAGGCTTAGTTCTCACCATACGAGGAGGTTGTTCTGGTGGGTCGGTGCCACAATCCAACAAATATAGAGTAAAATAGAAATAATTCAAAATAAAACCAACTGTGATAGTGCAAAGCAGAAGCAAAATAAATGTTGTGGAGACTTAAAGTTAGATTTAAATAAAACCATAACCTGAAGGATTATTTACAGGAATACTGATATTTACATTTATACACACATATATGCTTTATTTTACTCGTCTAAGACTAATTTCTCCCAATAGAGACAAATAAAGAACCTTTGATTTCTACACAGAATAAAAACACAATCGTTCTTTATTGACTTTATTGAGAAAAATCTGATTCCTGCTTTTGTCTTTAGAGACGGTAGCGTGACGGCACAAAGAAGTTACGCTAAAAATATTATAAATGAATAAAATACTGTTGAATAAAAACTAAAAAAACCTGCAGTATAATCTGTGCAGTGTTAGTTCCTCTGTTAGTGTTTCTGTTCATGAAAGGACTCTTATTTCTACAATTAATAACGA